TTTTCTTAGAATAGAAGGCTGGGCTGGACATATGGAAGAATGAAAACCAACATAAAATTCAAGACCTATTATATTTCACACCACCAGAGACAAGGTTATATATGGACCTATGTAGAGGCCTGCAGTTTCATGATGAAAAATAAACACTAAAGTACTGTATTATTTCAATAGTGTAGGTTAAGTAAATTGCATGGTGATTCTATCATAATTTTCCTACCTATACCAGGACAATTACCATATTTTTAGAATAAGTGAAAATAAGTATAGTAACAATCCTATATCAACTATAAAACAGACTGTATAACTAGTCAAGGAATGATAGCGCAATGAACTGTTAAGCAACCGCAGTCACATAGTATACTATGGGAGAGCTTCACAAGAGCTTCACCAGTTTGTGAATTAATACTGTAAAAAAGTGTGATTACTCAACCAGTCTCAGATGTGAAAAAATGTAAATATGTATCAAAAAGGTAAAACACTGAAGGTGGAACAAAAAAACCTGATAGTGGTCCAAGGGTCCTCTGCAATGGTCCAGATCACCCCTATCCAAGGTCCCAAGTGGTATGATTGTAGATGTGCAGCATAGGTCACTGCAAGTGAAGACAACACAAACGAGGAATGCTGAACCTCCACAGTCAGGTTAGTTCCAGGATGCAGTGTAACCAGGGGTCAGTCTCTACCAGCTGCTACTGGGCTCCATCTGGTGTCTCCATGGTCAACTCTGGCCAAGATCCGAAGACCTTGCAGGATTACTCAGATCCACTGGGGGATCTTGACAAGGGTAGAGTAGAGTATCCTGAGGGCCGGTCGCTACCAGGAGTCCGAAGCACAGCTAAGCTGCACCCTAGCACCCTATGAAATAATCTGAATATAGCCTCCTGAGAGGGCACACAGAGCACGTGGAGACAACAGAAAAAAAACTGAAGAACAGGATATTATATTTTCGTTTCACTGCTGAATCTGCTATGGCTGTGACTTACCTTCTGGGAAGGGAGGTAGGATTGAAGAATTTTTAGAACTTGCTTCAAAGGACTGAAACAGAAACAGGCCGGGCTGCATGGCTTCTAAGACTTCATGGCAGTCTCCAGGAACAAATCCCACTAATGGCTTCCTGACGGAGATTCCATCCACTGACCGGTAAGCAACGGCTTCCCAAAATCAAATACCCCTAAGGGTTTCTACGGTTTTCACCAAGAAAATCAAAATCACTTTTCACAGGTCAAGTGCACGCCACCATGGCTAACCGAGAAAAAGTGAGGTAGGTACGTGCCGGAAATTCTCCTACCCTCGATTTAACTCGTCAAAAACCCAAGTTTCCTGTTAAAATCCCAAATCAGCGCCAAATATGAAATCCGAGAATCCTATTGGTCGAAGAAATGCTTACGCCCTAATTATTAAGAAGAATTGTTCTTCTTCTTCTGTCTTCATAGGAATAATCTCCAAATCCTTCACAGAAGACAAATGACAGTCCACAATGACTGCAGTATGACAACAGTGACAGTGACATCCTGATGACACATGAAAATATAACCTGAAATATTATCCCAAAAATAAACAAAGAAATTTATCCAAATTGAAACCAAATCAGAATGAACAACATCATAAATCCTGAGATATTCCAGCGAAATAGGATTTATCGCCCTGGAGAACATCAACGGTAAGTTGTCTGTCTACTTTTGAATGGATTACAATATTAAATATTTTCTTCGATTCTAGGGCCTTAGGATCAGAACGCCAGAAATCAAAGACTCCTGCAGCTTACATCATCACCTCCTATTAGCACATAGAATATCAGAAGAAATGAGTACTCTACTATTGGAATTTGTTTGTTAAAAGATCTCATTCAAAACTGTGTGTGATATGATATGGTTGTTTCATTAAATGTTCTACTACTCAAGGATTATTTACTATATGTCAGACTGAATGTTCACTGTGAGTATGGTTTCTTCTCAAATTCATAAGGTAAGAATTTGAAGACTATGTTTATTACACCAAAGAAAAATAAAAACAAATCTTAGCACACCACAGTGCTACTCTACTGTAATTTGATAAGTTTCATCAAAATAATTAGCTAATATTATCTTGTAGCAAATTCAAATGCTACACATTGTTTCCGATTTGTCAAATACGTGAACAACGACAAATCCAATGGTTTCCCCCTGATGCCATAGCGTCGTAATTTATCAATCAGTAATTCGTGGTTAACACAGTCGAAGGCCTTGCTGAGATCGCAAAAACTTAAAGAAGTTTGGCAACCGCCCTCAAAGCCCTCCCATTGAAGCATCTGCTGAATATTTTCAACGATTATGAATGTGTCTCATATGGTAAACATTCCATTCGTTTGGTGAGAGCTGGAAACGATAACAACTGCTTCAAAATCATTGAAAATGCTGTTGGCACCGCTGTTGTACCCACAAAAGCACAATTGGAAATCGAAAACGTGGAACTCAAAGTGAAAAGACTATTTCCGAACGATCAAATCAAATTGCAACTTTTGAAGGCAATCAAAGCCGACACTCCCATCCTGATACCCTTCAGAAAATGGGAATTGCATATGTTGCCTTCTCTCAAGACAGGCGCCACCAATGAAATATGGGCCGTCAAGACATCTTCGTTTCTCGAAAGTCCTAGATATTGCATCGTTTGCTTTCAAACAGATCATGATCTGACTAAAGTTAATACTGATCCCACGATTTTCAATCACGCAAACATAACGAATATCACATTGACTCTCAACGGGGAAAGTTATCCAAAGGAGAAGATGCAATTGGCCTTCGATAAAGGAGCCTTTCCACAGGCGTACTTCAACTATACGCAATTTGGATATAGCTATAAAAACACCTCCCAACACACTCCGCTCCTAGGCTACCCCGAGTTTGCCAATAAACAACCTCTTTTCGTTATCGATTGTTCGCGACGAGACGAAAGTGTCAAAAGCTCCACTGTCGATGTCAAACTTGAAATTGAAGCATCCCAAGGATTTCCTGCCAACACTCGAGCCTATTGCATCATCATCCATAATAACATCATTGAGCACCTCCCACTCAGTGAAATTATCAAGAAGTGGAATTGAATCTCAGTTTGTCATTCAGTTTGAGTTCGACCAGCATCATGAGAGTAGCGTTCATAGACATTCAAGGGTTCATTATCGAGCACGAATTCCGCCCCAAGGAGATTGCTATCAAAATTGGAGTTCAATGTAGTAATTATCTACTACTTCCATACAAATCCTTCTCTTCTCTCAGCAAAGAAGACCGAACCGGCGCTTGTTTCTTGGAAAAGAACATTCATGGGTTGAGGTATTCTAACGGATTTGTGGCATACAATTTACTCAATGATATCCTTCAGGATAAGCTGAGTGACATCGATATCATCTATGTGCGAGGTCATCAAAAAAAGGAGTTCCTGGACGACAAATTAGCAACATTCAATGTACATGCAAGAGTCGTGAATTTGGAGCAATATGACGATTCCTGGTACATCGTTCCAACTTTCGATAACAACAACACCATCACATCCTGTATGCATCACCTTCGTCGAGAATCCTTCAATTGCAGCCTTCGCAACGTTGATATTTTATACAAATGGTTCGATAATTTGATACCCAAATAGTGTTACTCGATAAATCAATAAAAAAAATTGATATATTTACTAATGATTTTGTTTTTTTCCCTTAATTCTCGATTCTGCACATTGAACAACAAATCATCAAAACGACAAAATATCGAATCGACGAAACGTCATCTGTCAAACGTCATCTGTCGTACGTCATATGTCGTACGTCATATGTCGCTACGCCATTGCCAAAACGACGAAATGCAGATTACGGAGCACGATATCCGATTTTTTCAAACGTCCGCAACGTCGACATGCTAGCGCCAGCCGCGCTCTCTTCAGCATCCAGCCTGCCATCTCGCCGCTTACCAAACTCCAAACTCGTACACAAATTTGTCTAGTGGCGTGGCGCTACGGTAGCGTTTCGGACTCGCAGTCCGGTGGCCGGGGTTCGATTCCTCGCCGCCCGCACAGCCCGACTTTTTTTTATTCATTATATTCCCATCAAATATTATTTGAATTTGCCGCCGCCAAGTTGCAGACCGCAGCCACAGCGACACTAGCGACTCTAGGGAGTATTTTTGGAACCCGTGTTTCAGAATTCTTCTAGCCCCTACTACTCCTATCCCTCAATAGAATTTCGTACACAATAAAAATATTCTCCCAAGGGGACAGCCATGCAAGGCAAACCCTAGGGAGGAACAACATAAACAATAAACCATAAATCGAACACACTTATAAACATGTCTCCCATCCTACCAGGTAGCGACATGTTTGTCGATGAAAGCAACCCCAGCAAGGGGAAAAGAAGAGCTCAGTAAGAGTAGGACGAAACTCGGGCAAAACCAAGGCCAAAGAGACAACTAATATTAATACCCTCATTCAAACGCTGAAAAATCAGAATGAGCAACAGCAGAAACTGATAGAAAGCCTAACCAGGACTATCGAACAGCTGCGCAAGGACCTTAAGAACGCAGCAGATCTAAACCTTTTAAGAAGAAAGAAAGGCGGAAACCTTCCATGCTCTAGGAACAGGAAAAGTCTGCCAACACCGACCTAGTAAACAAGGAAACCACCCCCCCCCTCCCCGAACCCCCTCGAAAACCGTACTTTCCATACCGGAAAATATGGAAATCGAGGAACAACAGAAAGGAACTGAAAGTTAAGCCTCATCAAGCCCTCCTCCAAAAGCCTCAACCTCAGCCCCCACCCCAAAAAGGCAACGACGGGCCAGTCAAAAAAAACAACATTTCCCCGATTGTACTGAAGACACCGGGAGAATGGACCACGGTTGAAAGGAAGTTGGAGTCCAACGGAATCAAAATCAAACAAATGAGAGGAGGTTTGAGAATTCAAACTAAGGATGCCACGGAATATAGAACTGCCACCAGGATTCTGGAAACAGATAATCACGAATATCACACATATTCGCTCCCTGAAGACAAGCTACTGAGCGTAGTTATGAGGGGAATCGATATGAATGTGGAGATTCCCGACATTGAAAATGATTTGAAGAGTAAGGGACTTGAAGTCAAAACAGTCCATAGGATGAAATTCTATAAGACTAAGCTGGATTTACCACTGGTGATCATTCAAGTCCCCAAATCCGAAGCCAGAATTTGGGACGTCAAAGACTGCTGCAGCTATGTAGTGAGAATTGAAGCCCAAAGACAGGCGAAAATCAAATTCCCCAGTGTCACTGATGCCAGAAATTCGGGCACAGTCAACGCAACTGCAGATGTCTATACAGATGCGTCAAGTGCGGAGACCAGCATCCCACATCCACCTGTGAGAAGCCCCGCACAACAGACGCTGAGTGCGCCAACTGCAACGGCAAACACCCTGCCAATTACAGAGGATGCCCGAAGTGTCCCAAGCCAACAACAAGAACAACCCCCCCAAAACCCAACCAAAAACCTACCCCAAAAACCCTCCCTAGAAGTGGAAATACCCAACCAGGGAAATCCTACGCAGCAGAGACTGCCCCCCAACCCCAAAAGGTCAACAGAGCCCCTCAACAAGCCCCAACCTCAACCCTACCCCCGGACTTCATGGATCTCATCCAGAAGGCCATAGAGACCGCAGTGCAACAAACAGTTGCACTTCTCAGCAAGCCATCACCGGTAAGAAATGGCGCATAAGAAGGACTGCTTTTCCATTGGCTCTTGGAACATGAACGGGGCCAAGGCAAAAAAAGTAGAACTGGAAGAATTCCTATCCAGGAATTCTGTGGACATAATGGCGCTCCAGGAGACGCAACTCACTCCAGGTATGACATCCAATATAATTAATTATTTTGTTTGCAGGAACGACCGGATCGGCAGAAGAGGCGGAGGCACCTTTCTGCTGATCAAAAAGGACCTCGATCATTATCCGATCAACACCCCAGCACTGAATTCCCTGAAAACTGTGAAAACACGAAACCACGGCGACATCCAGATAGTTTCAGCTTACCAATCCGATACCCAAATAGATCTCCAATATTACACACAAGATATACACACGGTTATATCTAGTCGAAATCCAACCATAGCAGTCGGTGACTGGAATGCCAGAAACCAAAACTGAAATTGCATTACCTCAAACATGAAAGGGAGACTACTTGTAGAATACCTTGAAGGAAGCGGGGACACCACTGTGCTAGCCCAACCAGATCACATCAGATATGACCACAACTACACTCCGAGCACAATTGATATAGCCCTCCTGCGAGGACTTGAAATGCCAGTTGAAATTGCCACCCACCACGACGGATCATCTGACTACGACCCAATCCTGCTGCATGTCGGAGAAGGAAATGAGCCGAACCAACCCATTGAAAGGAACAAAATCAATTGGACCATGTTCCAGAAAATATTCCATGACCGAATGGGCCCAATGCTCATAATAGTCACAGGAGATGACCTGGAAGAGGCAACAAGAACCTTTGAGCAGGGCATCAAAAATGATCTATGGAAGCAAGCACAACAATCACACACACCACCAGATGGAATCTACAGCATGATCTACCACCAGAACTACGCGAATTGCTGAGGGAAAAACAGAGAGCCAGGAAACTGACCATCAGAACCAGGCAACCCGAACATAACCAATTAGCAAGGCAACTAGCCCGAGAAGTAAGGAGAGAATTGCAAAAACGAACCTTGGCCATATACGTATTAATAATCAATACGGATAATCTCTATCTGTTTCCATAGCGAAACATGAAGCCAATTTTTGAAGAAAAATGACTATTCATAAGGAAAAGTTTTGAAACGATCAGACACATACTGCTTTGATTGAAAGGCTAGTGAACGTCATTGTCCACCGAAACGCATGTCTTTGATGACTACTATAATAGCGCATGGCGCATGCGTATCATGCCACCAAATCCTTATGGATATTCATTTGTTTAATATTTTTGGCTTCATCCTGGCACCCGTGATGATCCGTATTGCTTATTGATACGTTTATGACCTTGGGCCGCAGAAGTTCCTCAGAAACCGTCCCACCCCCATACCACACCTCCAAGGACAGCACGGTATCGCCTACACTAACGAGGATAAGGCATCGGCATTTGCCGACACCTTAGAGCGCCAGTTTGTGGAAAACGTTACCCCAAATGACGATCTGCAGCACGAAGCCCGATGTAGACGAGCAGTTAGGCGACTCAGAGAACATGATGCTCCCGTTGATAACCTGCGACAGGCCACGACGGAGGAAATCAAAAGGATCATCAGGAACCTGAAGACCAAGAAGGCACCAGGGATAGACAATATCCCCAACAAAGCCCTAAAGCAACTTCTCGAAAAGGAATAGCAGCCCTTACTAATATAGCGAACGCCGTTTTGAGACTGAAACACTTCCCAACCACCTGGAAAGAAGCTTCAGTGATCATGCTCAAGAAACCCAATTGAGATGCTACCCTGCCACGGAACTACAGGCCAATCAGCTTACTACCAGCACCCAGCAAAGTGATAGAACGAGTCATACAAAGCAGACTAGAGGAATCCACCACCGATCTTGGCGTTTTACCAAATGAACAGTTTGGCTTTGGAAGCCAACATTCAACGGAGCTCCAAGTAACCAGACTTGTCGACTACGCAGCCGTTGGCCTAAATAGAAGACTAGCCACTGGAGTTGTATTCCTCGACATAGCCAAAGCTTTCGACCGCGTCTTGCACGATGGACTAGTAGCCAAGATGATGATCCTGGATTATCCAATCCCACTCGAGAAGCTGATAGGCTCTTATCTACGAGGAAGATCCTTCAGAACCAAAACCAGTCCAGAAGTTTCATACAGATGAATCATGCAAGCAGGAGTGCCCCAGGGAGCAGTTCTAAGCCCACATATATACTCCATATACAGCTCAGACATCCCAAACAACAATAGACATTGCACCCTGCCATTGTATGCGGACGATACTGCGATAGCAACCAGATCCCGAATCCCAGAATACATCACTAGACGCCTGCAAAGGAGCATTGATGAACTGGAAGAATGGTGTACCAAATGGAAGATACAGATAAACCCAGAAAAAAAGTCAAGCCATCCTGATCAGACACATACGCCAAAACCCCATAGGACATGTCACCATAGGTGGCCAGAATGTGCAGTGGACAAACTTAGCCAAGAATCTGGGAGTAGAGATAGACAAGAGGATGACGTTCAGAACCCATGTGGAAGATCGCTTGCGATTAGCCGCTGGAGCCAGAGCGCATCTGTCTCCCCTCATAGGACGCAACAGCCAAATGAGACTGGACCTGAAACTCCTGCTCATGAAAACAGTTCTCCTGCCCATATTGACCTACGCGTCAGTAGCTTGGGGACACTGTGCTCAGTCACACCTGATGAGTCCAAAGAGTCGAGAATACCACCCTGAGGATGATAGTCAACTCACCCTGGTTCGTCCGGAATGATGCCATCTTCAGAGATCTTAACCACACCAAGATACTGGACAAGATGAAAATCCATGACGTGAAAACATTCGCAGGGATGGAGAATCACGAAAATCCTCGCGTCAGGGAGGCGACAAACTAAGATCCTCGATTCCGGGAAAGGCACAAACGTCCAAGAACCCAACTCTTGGACAGGTAAGCATATTACACATACACATACACAACACAAATCTCCCAAAAGAGAATAGCGGTTGATTCTGGCCCGAAAAAATCACGAATTCTCACATATTTAGATCAAATACAGGAATAGTAATCATTTCACGTAATGCGAAATCTTTATGATTCCTATTTTCAAAAAACCAATGAGCCCAAAAGTCACGTGAACACCACTAGAAGTCAGATTCTAGACGTCAGTCCCTGCGGATTGACTTGCTTTTCAAATTTTTCACCCTCTAAACGACCGACTCCTAAAGTCACAAGCCCCATGTGGACTTTTTGATTATGAGAACCGCTGCGCTGCAGCGGGGGAGGTGGAAGGCGGTTAAGGCTGTTCCTAGTCACCCTCAGTGATTAGTAATGTCCCGTACCGGGGTCTCATAACGATTGGGCATATCATCTCTGTGGTACTAAGGCAGAACCCGATATGTCATAAAATATCGATTTTTCGTTTTTAATGCCAATATATACAGTTAGTGGCAAAGAATATGATGGCAAAACCCGATGAGTATCTGAAGCTCTTGCAAATTGTAAGTCAAGAAAATAAGATTCCGATATGTTCCTTATCTCGCAATTGGTCGATAGCAAAATTCGATATCTGAGACATATCGGGTTCTGGCATCATCGTTTAACAGCGGAACAATTCTGAATCCCGGTATGTCTGACTTGGACTTGACACAGCTTGTCGAGTCAGTCGTTCAAGTGTTCTAGTACAGTGCAGATATGCAACGTAACCCCGAATAATTATTATTGTTTGTTGTTTTGGTGAGGGGTGAGGACTATCTATCTTTTTGGCGGTCTGAGGTTGTACAAAATTTTGTAAAATGGATGGAAATGGTAGAGGGGCTATCATAGCCAAAATGGCTTTAGCAGCAAGTAAGTATGGAAAATACATAACAATGAATCAATTGTGTGGTAGATACTGAATAATAATAATAACTGAACTGTGGCGGATTCAACTTCATGTGATTTTTTTGGTCATATAATTTTTATTTTAGTGTGTGTTCGTTTTAGATAATCCAGTAACACATTCATCGTCAGTGATTGAAGATGATATTATTGTTCTGCAACGTATGGAAACCGTTATGTCGGATAACGAAAAGGAAAATATAACGCCAAATATAATGGCAGCTTCTACAGTTTCTCAAAATATGGAAAGAGGACACTCATTGAAGGTTTCATCCCAATCATGAGGGACACTGCAATGTCAGGTAAAATACATATTCGCTCATACAACTGCATATTCAAATTGCTTTCCCATTGAGAAAACATTGAATTTCATTTATTTTTGCAGATGTTGAAACTCAGGCGGAAGACAACGCAGGATTCACCGGGAATAAAATATCTGATGATGATATCTCTTCGGATGATTCGTTGATAGACAAAAGTTACGAACCATCATCTGAAGAATCAGATCATAATTTGAGCACAATGGAAGGTGAAAATATGAAAGAAAATAGCAGCCCAGAACTAGAAAGGACAGATGAGGAAGATGCAAGTGCAGATAACATTCAAGCAGGTGGTAGCTCTGGACGGAAAAAAAGAAGAAAGAATATTCGGAGAGAACAGAAGCTTTTGCGTGACCATGGAAGAGTCGAAGAATAGAAAGGGCAAAGTCATTCCGGGAAAACAATTCCGGCCCGCTGGCAACTGTTGCCGTAAGAGATGCTTCGAAAAAATAAATGATGAACAGCAAAGGGTTTTCCACGAAAATTTTTATGAATGTTCTAAGGAAGAACAGAATCAAATTCTTGCTGGAGGAATAACAATTTCTAATAAAAGTGGCGAAAAAATGGGTCGTGGCAGAACAGGTATTGTGCATAATCGCCAAGTTACTGCCAAGTATTGTTTGAAATTGAATGGCAGCATCCAAATAGTGTGCAAAAATATGTTCCAATCTGTTTATGGCCTCACGAAGTTCAAAGTTGATTATTTGGTAGAAAAATTGAAACAGTCTTCTGTGCCCGTTACGTCTCTGAAAG